CGCCGCCATGGGCACCGTGGGCAGCAGCCAAGCCCAAGCTGACGGCAAAAGCGAGAGTTGTGAAATGCATTCTAATGGAGGGTCAACTAGCCAGTCGACACGGCGAGAGAATATGTGTGGTAACGAATGGGCTTCCCCGAAGGTTAAAGCAAAAAGAAAATGGCGCTTAGCGAATGGAATTGGCAGAGCAGAGTTCAATAAAGAAGAAGCCGAGCCAGATTGGGACAATGTACACGATGCAGCACTGCACTCGACAACTTAATTACACCGTAGTCCGGAAGAATAGCAAAGCGGACTAGACGGCTCGGGGCCGGCCATTGTTATATAACGCGGAAGCAGATGCGTCTTCGGGTAAGTAGACTAAGTAATAAGCAGCCTGAGTATGGGCTGAAAATGCAACCTTGACCTGGCGTGTGAGCGATCGGCTACTGCAAGCTGGGCCAGTGGATGGCCGCCCAGCTCCAAGCAGAGCAAATTAAACAGGGCAGATCAGCCCGGGCAGTCAACAGCGCAGAGACATAGTGGCCGGCTGATATTTCGCGCGTGGTGCTGGTGTTGTCCAGACAGGCGCGTGTGGGATAGCTAACCAGGAGCAAGGGTGCCTTGCAGTGAGCCACTTCTTGGTCCATGGTACTCTCTACCGGCACATGGGGCTATTTTAGTCACCTGCTTGCTTGTATCGACTAATACGAGCTGAGAGAGGTCCATTCTGAAGGGAAAAGCAACAATGTCGCTGCGCCGAGAGCACATATGGGGATGGCTCAAGTGCAGATGGCTGAATCAGAATCCCGAGCAATGGGCATTCAACCCGACGGCAGGGAAACGTATTTGCTATTCCTCTTCAACACGAAAGTCTGCCGGGGCGCCACTTGGCTGTCCTCGCCTTCAGTTTTGGAGCACGCTGGCAACCTGGTGTATGTTCTAGCGACTTGGCACTTCGGGTTCATGAGGCTGTATGGTGCGTTGAGAGAGCCCAGCGCTGACAATATTGGAATAATACATGGTGCTATTGCGTGCCTGACTGGTGAAGTGGTGTACAAAGAAGAGTCGTTTTCGAGGTACAAGACTGTGCCGGAGGTCAGCCGGTATGAACGCCGAGGCCGATCAAGGTCAGCTGTTGTGGGGTAGTGAACAGCATAAACGAACCGTTGAACAGCGAAAAGCAAAGAAGACATCGGACAGAATGAGAGAACGAGATGCAAAGACTTTCATCCTCGCTCGTACGGACACTGCAACGTGCCTTTGCTTGCCCAGCCTTGCCTTGCAGATCGACCGAGCAACCAACGTTGCGATAGATAATAGCATGATAATTTTTCACCTTTCGGAATCCTTCGTTGGGTCCGTCGCCCTATTGCCTGTACGACTGACGCGTGTAATCGTTGGTCTGTGGCTGTTCGATGGAGAAGGCTCCGTCACCGTTCACGAATTCTCGCGCATCTTCTCATGTAGGTGAGATGGGCAGGATGAACTGTGGATGATGAGATGCAGTCACATTTCTCTAGCTGGTTAGTACCTTACTTGGGGGTTAATAAGGTGCCAGCTAGCACTAGAGGTGTGAGGAGAAGCCAGCCATACGCGCGACGCGAGGGGGAAGAAGGTGGATGAGAGGTGGATGAGAGACGCGGGAGTGAGTGGATGAGTGAGTGAAAGTGCAGTGAACCGGGGGCGGAAGGCGGGGCAGAAAGTGGAAGAGTGGAGCAAGAGCGAGGGGGGTGTTCTTTTTGGCCTTAAGAGAAAGTGAATATTTCGAGGTAGCATCATGCGATAACCGAGTGAGATACCCCCGTACCCCTTTATGGCGTTGAACCCCGCTAGATGCAGCTTTACCCCGCGGTGAGCCAAGGTCTACCAAACGGTGCAAAGGTAAGCAGAAGCCAAAGCAACGCGCTCTCAGCGTCTGCCACGTCCCACAAGCGCCCCTGGCCTGCCGAATTATTGGCTTGGCAACACTTCGGTGGGCTGTCATTGTCCTTACTCCTTTGTAAGTTGCGAGTTGTAAGCCTACAGTGACATTCCCCTCCTCTTGAAGATGCCTGGCTGCCCTGGAAGTCGGGACCAAAATGTTCTTTGCGCCCCCGGCGGTACTAGGTAGAGACGGGATTCATGGTGCTTTGAGTGCATCTCTACCGGGCGATGACAGCAGCCAGGGGTCTGGTGAGGCAAGCATTCTTGGTTGAGCTCTCGACATCCTCTTGCCGTTCTTGAAGCTTCATTGTCTTCTTTTGGCTTTACTCGGCCGTCTGCGTTCACCGTCACCACCAGCATGGCCATGGTCGCCGCTGGAGCCTCCTGTACGTATCAGGTTTGATCTAGCTCTGATGTGACTCTTACGGTGGCAGGCAAACAAGAGACCGGCAAACACCCACGGCATCCCAGCTATGATGCTTCCCAAGAATCCCAAGTCAGTGTCCTTCATGTCGGCAGAGGATCCGATGCCGGGTTGACAGCAACATCGGCCGCCATTGAGGCGCCTTTTAGGCAGTTGACTGCTCCAGTTTCGTGCAGACACGGGTTTGCCCAGACTTTAGAGACAACCAACCATGCTCCTGTTTCACCAACTCTTTTCCCACTTCTCCAGCCTCCGTCTTCCCTGTCATCATCGGGCACAGCAAAGGTTCCAAAGTCTCAAGAGAGGAAGGGAAAAGGCCAGATATTTTGTCAAGTTTCTTACGGCTCAAAAATTCCATCACGGCACCGCTGACAACGGATAATAACAAGCCCAACTTCCGAGCTTGGTACCGCTCGTCGGATTGCGTGTTGTGTAGGATGTCTCCTCCCCCCTCCCCGGTCTCCCAACTCTGTCAGAAGGATATCTCGCTTCGCCCAATTCTGCACACACACACACCACGCACGATGCAATGCTGCATCACGGCACAGCTGAAGCTTCGTGCAGTTTTTGGCTCGCAATTCACCGCATCGGGTTGTGCTCGCACAAAGTTGGGTAAAAAAAGGTACCAGAATCGCACATGCTTACGTGAAGGAGGAAAAAAAGTTTGTGTCACCTTGCAAAGTCCGGTTGTTCCCAGCCATTACCTGCTGCCGCTCACCCGGCAGTCTTCGGATTCGACCTTGAGGCTGATGCCAAGAAGCTGAGGGGGGTTGCGATGCCACTGACGACGGTGGCATGGAACGAGGTCGACCCGTTGAAGTGGCAAGGACTCCGAAATGGTTCTACTTCCCCTCTGTCTAACCCGTATTTTCAAAGCCATGTCGGGCCTGACCGTTGTGATACGCCAACCACTTTGTCCAAGACATTCCTATGCCTTGCCAGGAACGACCAAGACACCCTACCGGCCATCGGGCATTTGGTGGTCGGAATACGATGTGATTCAAATGAGATGAGGGGTAAAACAGGCGAGTCTCAGGCTTTTCCGGATAGCACTTAGTTGCTAGAAGCTCGTTTTTCTCTACAAATGTAGTAAGCTCGACTGTTTGTCAGACTCTGACGAGAACTGTCGGGATAATGCGCAAATTAATATCTGCGGTTGAGTGGGAAATCTTGAAAATCTCTCAAGGACTGATGCCGTTTAGCGGGGTCTGGGCACGGGGAACGTTGGTTGGCCTACGTACGTATAATGTTTACCCGGCCTCACTGGCTTGGGTCCCCGGTGCCCTCTACTCAGCAGAGTCTATTGTGAGCACCGATGAGGGGAGCAAGATCGACATTTCGGGGCATTATGCGTTCATCATGGGAGAAATGGATAGGTAGATCGCGGTCCGGATGACTTCCCCAGGTGGATCTCCCATGGCCTTCTCAGCTTGTGTCCGTAGTGTACTTAGCAGCCACACATCCTGGCAGGCAGGCAGGCGCTCCTAGGCCCAATGTGATCGATGCAATGGGGGAGGGGGCAGATTTCGAATGACTGACTATGTGTAAGACACTACCGTTGTCGCTCTATTTCTCGACGCAATTCTACGACCCCCCCGCGACAGAAACTGTTTGCTGAGTCAGAGGCCATAATGTAGAGAATGTCTAAGAGGCGGACGGACATCACCTCCGTCCACCCTCCCGGGCACGAGGCACTGTGGATCGATGCCGGGCGTGGATCGATGCCGGGCACGGATGGCGAAGTGACACCCGGGCGCTGTCCCAGTGTTCTAGTGCCGGCGCTTCTTACAAGCTAGAATCGTGGGCATGAAGCCGTCACGATCTTCTATGATCTACCGCTATATCGGAACGCAAAAGCCCACGCCCCCCTTGGCTGGGACTACCTACAGGCTACGAGCATGCCTGCCGATGCTCACCATGGGCCATGGCTACCTCAATACCAGTCCAATACACTAGTTGCTGCTAGGTCCCGTGGTTAATGCGATCTTGGGCGGCGCCAGCGCTACTCCCAGAGGTCCCCACAGCGGCCCGGATACGGGGCCTTGGTGCTATTCCCGCCTTTCACACCACGGACATCGCAAGTCCCGGGGTTGGGCCTGAGAAGCACGGTCCAGAACGAACTGTGGTAGGGCAGAGCGAACAGCGGAGGGGATCATCATTGTCCAGTGTGTTTCGCCCAGGAGCTCTTGGGATGAACTGTAGTGGCTTCTGGAGTTCAAGTGGTTCATCTCAAAGAGACGTTTCTGTTATTGAAACAATCGACGCCAATAAAAGTTTGAGGACTCTAATCGCTCAATTTCGATGGCAATTGTTGATTCTCATATACCTACCTACCTAAGTCGCCTCGATTAGACTTCTGGCGCTGTCTTGAGCTGACAGTCCTCGACGCCTCACTCCACCGCGATCGATCTTGAACTCAATTCGCCATAGTTTGACATTATTCTACCCCAAATGCCTTAGCGCGCATTGCCGACGAAAGAATTACCATCAGCTCAATGACACATGGCAAGCCACAAAGGCCCGCCGCGCTGGCTAGACCTCGCTTTGGTCCATCGAAAAAGGTTGGATGAGCGCACTAACGATTCCATCAAGAATCGATCAATTGAGATGCACGCGAGGATTGAAGTGTCAAGCCAAAATTCAGATAGTCAATTGTTATTCTGGATACTCATGGGAAAGGTATCTATGCTTCATAAGTCATTTCATGTAGCCACCAGACCTAAACATTACATTAAAAATAAAGAAATAAAATCGTTGCCAAAAACAACTGTCGTTCAGGGAATTCCCCGGGCGACGAAAGTATAGCGAGTTGTGAAGAATCGAAACGATCAAGGTCCAGCCAGAGCTCAGCCCCTCATCATCATCCCCTCTCCCTTTCCACCCGCGCCCATCTGTACAATAAGGTCTTCGATATGTACGAACTTTCCAGCTCTTTTCGAGGTATGTGATGATGATGGTGGCGGTACCGTGTGTGCTGTGCATGTGTGCAAAGATGAAGTGAACCAATCCCCGAATTCCTTCGCTTCCTCCCCCATATTCAGCCCGCCTCAATTGTGTGTCCTTTTCCCAAAAGAGTGTAGATGCTATGTAGATATGATGATGCGATATCAACTTTTTTCTCCGATTTCCCTCCAATCATGGTCCTTCCCATGTTCTTCACGCTTTCCCATTCGTCTGACTTGGACGAGTCTAATGTTCCCATATTTTTCAGCCTCAAGCAAGGTAAAAACGCCACATGAATGATTCAACAGTAAGAAATGTGTGTGAAGAGGAAGAAAACAAGCAAAAAGTAGTCAGCTGAGAAACGCCCGATTCGGTCTTGGTGTGTGGGATGCCGCGACGCCAGGACAATAGTGACTCCCTTAGTGCCAGCGCGCATCATCCAGCAATGTGGATTGTTTTGCGCAAGGCTCTTAAAGAGTGCCACGACCGCCCTCAGCGTCCATCTTCTCGTCGTCGCCTCCCTTGATGACCTCGCGGGTCTTACCCCATTTGAAGTCGTCCGAGTAGACGAGGGAGTACCCCAAGATGATCATGTTGAGGAAGGGCGACGTGCACAGGTGGAAGAAGTAGCCGACAAAGTATTGCATGCGCTCGAGCATGTTTCTCGGTAGCCAGAAACCGATGCAGAAGGAGTAGATCTGCGGAACCACAAAGTCAGAATTTTGTCTCAAGTTTCGTCGGTCGCATAACGTAAGCGAAAGAGCTTCGGAGGGAGGAGACTTACGTATCGGAACAAGAGCAGGGCGAACAGCGACATGAAGACCGGATCCCTCACCAACTCATCACCACGACGGCAGAGAATGATAATCAAAGCGATGACGGCGGCCATGATGAAGGGTGTGATGAACCAGGTCATGACGGCAATGATGGATTGAAGACGCTCGATGGGGATGATGCCGGGGCGGAAGATCATGACGAACTCGTTGGAGATTGAACCGAGCGCCCAACGCTTGCGCTGGGACAGGAAGACCTTCCAGTCTTGCGGCACAATGGTGAAGGCCTTGGCGCGCAGGGCCTGGGCGGTCTGGCGCTGGGGGAAGAGCGAGAAGATGATGCTGGCGTGGATCGAGTCCTCCGAGTAGTTGCCCATGATGTGCTGCGTCATGAGATCGTTGGGCTTGGGGCAGTATCCGAACCGCTGGCGGAGGACCTCGTCGCCGAAAGTGGCCTCGTCAATCTTGATCAGCTGACAACAGCCGGGGAGACAGTTGACCTTTCCGGTGATGCGGGATTGGAACATGCGACGGAGACCTTGGGTCTGGGAGTACTCGACCGACTGGTACAGCGACCAGAGACCCCAGTTCTTGCCGTCATAGTCGACACAGACGTGACCACAGACACCAACGAGCTTGGGGTTCTTGCGGATTTCTCTCAACATCTCCCAGATACAGAACTCGTCGAACACAGTATCGGCGTCCATACCAACGAGGTATTCGACATTATCAAGGCCCTGAGAGACGAACGCGTTGCCCAGATGCTCAAACAGCTCATTGCTGAACATGGTCATGATGTTGGTGGAGCGCTTGTGGAAATGGTACAAGAACGAACGGGCAAAGCACAAGCTGTCACGCTTGCCCTGGTTGTAACGCTTGCCAACAAAGACATACGGAATGCCCTTGTAGTAACCAGTCTGGATCTTGGTCGGCATGAAAAGGCCGTCTCGAGCGCGGTAGCCGTTCTCGAAGAAGCGCGTTGGGCCGGGCTCCAGGATGTCCTCGAGAAGGTACTCCTGCGTGGTCTTCTCCATACCAGCGCCCTTGACGTTGCCGTCGACCACAATGAAGATCATGCGCGGGTGGTCGTCAATGTTCTTCTGCGCGACCAAAGAGTCCAGAGATCGAGTAAGCTCCTGAAACGTCTCGTTGTAGCATGGCAGAAGCATGACCATTCTCTCAGGGGTCTCTGGCACCTTCTCTTTCCGGCGGAAGCAGAAGAAGATACCCTTGAAGATGAAGTGACCCAGAATAAAGACGATCATTATGAACTGGAGGACGGTGTTGGAGCTGAGAAGCACCATGAAGAAGTAGTGGGCGACGTGGTACGTGAATGATACGTAGATAAGGGCCGCATTGATACACAGCAAGCCGATGAGCAGACACCATTTCTGGAACCGCAAGAGAGACTTGGACACAAGCTTCAGCTCCGAGTCAGAGTCCCATCTCAGCTTCGCCTCTTCAGTCTGGACGGAGGACACGAAGGAGGCAGCAGACTCGCCGCCACGAGACTGCCATGAGCGGTGGCCGAAGGAGCCGGGTGTGCGGACGCCGAAGGGGAGGTCTTCTGTGGTGAAGCCAACGACAGACTGACCAGTCAGTATTATGACACTCTTTCAGAACGGAGGTGTATCTCGACTTACAGAGCCCTGTGACTGGATTCGAGATCCAAATGGCCTCGGAATAGAGAGACTTCGCTGGCTGCGAGCCGGTGTTGTAGCTCCTGAGAGAGGAGACAGGGGAGGGCGGCTGCTCTCCGCCATGGGAGGAGGTGGCGGTGCGGGACGGTGAGCCATGGTGGCTGGCTTGAGATTGTGTAAATTGGAAGTGAAGGTTGAAAGATTCCAACCAAAGACCTCGACAACGACAAGAGAGGGAGGATCAAGCGCACACAATGAGGAGCGAGAGACTGGATGTTTGAAGGGGCGGAGGGTCAGGGATCTAATCAAGATCCTGGGAGGGAGTCGGGCCAACAACAAAACGAATGTGATGACTGCCGGAGGCAACAGAGCAAAGTTTCCTACCGATGGGGAGGAAAGAGAGTGAAAAGTGAGAAGTGGAGGATGAATCTTTATTCCTGCGAGAGAAGACGGTCAAAAGAGAAAAAGAGGGCCGGCATGGGGTAAAAGAGGGTAACATCAGCACGCCGGACCTGGACTCGACATTCGGGGCTAGCCTCACGAGGCGGTTGATCCGACCAGCTGTCTGGGTCGGAATCAAAGGTCTCTTCTCAGGCTTGGATAGAGTGGCGGCAGCTCGGCCGGGGTAGGGCATGGACCGCCATGCTGCCCATCAACTGACTGGACTTGCTTTCTGGCGGGAACGACGTGCGATCATGTCTCGCAAATACGGACTATTGACTGGTTGCAGTTCCTGGGCTTGGCCGAACGATATCCATACACACACATCTGGCATGGCGACAGCAACATGACTTCTAGCGTCAGCTGAGCAAGCAAAGGAACACTGTACTCGGACCAGATTCGAAGATTTCCCACTCGACCGGCCACGGGGGTACATCAAACGCCATCTGGTGCCATCACGAAGAAAAATGTTGCAAGGGGAGGCAAGGCAGCAAGGGGAACAAGCCAGTCCCGTTGCTGCCAAACGTGTGTGTGTGGTTGGTGGTGGAGATGAGACAACCATGCCCATGTTCTTGAAAAAGGTTCAGCAGCACACGTCGGCGGCTGCAGGTTGACGGACCGTGGACGAACAGACAGCGGTATGCCTGGTCGACGGTCGTTTACACGCCCCCGAGTTGACGCCGGCCACTTGACATAGGGCTTTTCCAGCTCTTCTGTGATTGTGTGTTGTTGCTACTGCCGCTAATCTCTTGCTGTTCAGCAGGTACGCCTGAACCCGAGAACGCCATGATCGACAGAATACGGGTTGGGATACAAAGCAGAAGGCCAACGATATGCATCGGCCGATGTGTTGTGCGTACCAGTTCACCCCAAACAGAGAATCCCAACACCCGAAAGGGCATCGGCTTCGTCCGAGGAAAGCTGTGGCGTTCAACGACAACATGTGGCATGGCGTGGAAATGGCAGAAAACAGCAACATCCACCTTCGGAACAAAAAGAAATACAGCCCGCAAGCACACACCAAAAGAGAGAGAGCCGCTCAAAGGATGGCGCAGCGAAAGACGCATGGTCAGTGCTACACCCCAAGGCGGGAGCCGCTCGTTAAGCAAGACATGGACAACGGCGACGTTGACCGGGGTTGGTGGTCGATGGTGGTGATCGGTCCTCAACTTAGCGCGGTGATGCTCCGCTGACCCCTGTCCAATATACACGTCAGTTTCAACTTCAGGACACCGCTGCTTGAGTGTGCGAGTAGCAACGTGCAGCTGCGAGAGATATTTTGGGCTCGGGTTCAGGGCGAATGAATCTTTTCCGGTAGTGTTCGCGGTTGATCTTCGCTTCTGAGTAACCACTAGCACGGAGAGGCGAAAGGAGGGGGAGTGAAGCATGAGAGAAGAGCCGCAGATGCAGAACGCTGGCTGGGTTGGGCTGGACTTTGCTCGGCTCCCTTGGGGGCCAGCATCGTCTCCATTCAGACGACATCCTTCTACCTATCGCACTCTTTCCCTTTGCAGAGACGAGCTGTAAGAAAGGATTTGAAGAGGCGAGAAAGCTGGGTCAACTACATCTCATGGTTGCTGGCTGCTGCAGCAGTGAGCTGTAAATCGAATCAAGTCAGATCAACCCCGGCGTGCCAAGCCCGTGTTTATGGATTCGCGGGCTGCACGAGTGGGGAGGAAAGTTGTGCAGTGCCTGTCCTTGCATATCGATGCCTCCACACACAAGTAAGCTTGAATTCTGGGCACCAAGTGAGGGACGCCGAACAGGGCTGCCGTCTTCAGTCAGGCACACAATCGTGAGTTTGCGTGAGCGTGTGAGCTAAACTCTCATTTCCTCCATACGCGGACGCTGACCGACAACTCCTAGTGGACGAAGGGGGCATGCACTCATTGGACGCAGAAGAGCAAAGCAGCCTAATGTCTGTGAGATCGAGCCAATGCTGCGCCTGTGGTTCCCTACGTCTGTCAGGAACTTCGGATGACTGGAAAGACGGGACGAATGGCTGATGTTTGACTCAGCTCGACAACCTTGGCTCAACCTCCAAGCCCGCCTGCCATCTGCAATATCTGGGTCATTAACGGTTTGTCTGAGTCGCACGGGCACAACCGGCCCAGCCTAGAGAAGAGAAGAAAAAAGAAACAGAATTGAGTTCGAAGCAGACGAGGGTCAGACACGGCCAAGAGGACCCTTCTTTTCGTTCCTGTCCCTTTCTGTCCATCTTCGTATCTGTTTTGGGAATGACCGGCTGAGAAACGCTTGCTTCTTTGTTTTGTTAGAGACCCTGGGTAATAGAATCAGGACACTCGCTTTCGAGAAGTCTGCTGCCAGCCGGCTGGGCATAGGTTTGACGGTACGAAAAGAGGCCCCAAAACCCTCATGGGATTTGCGTGGTGCGTGCGTACGTGCGTGTGCGTGTAGTGGTGGCCAGGCAGTATGGCAAATCTGGCGGCGAGCCAGCGGCACAAAAAGAAAGCGTGGCGTCGATGCAACATCACACCATCGTGTGGGTGCGCCTATGGTCTGTGGTTGAGGTTGCGAATGGCCGGTACGTGATTCCCAGGCCCAGCTCATCCATGATCCATCAGCCCCCTCCCCAACATGACTGGACGGACGGGGTTGAGGCGGATCGTGAGAGTGTGGGAGATGGAAAGCGGGGCGCCTAGCTATGCGGAAGCGGCTTGCATGTCGTTACGATGCGGAATTCTATTCAGGTGGTGGGTGAGGGGAGGAACCTAGGTAGGTATTGCGAAGGGAGACGGGAAGGCGGGAGGGGTGGGTGTGAATGTGTGTGGTTGTCGTCGTCGTCGGTCGTGAAGGTTGTGAGAGGGTGAGGTTGACCGTGGTGGAAATGGAACGCAGGGGACGGGAAGGGGGAAAGATGCACACGCCCCCTCCATTAACCGGAGTAATTACCGGCGGATAGAATATTCTATTATGCATATAACCGTTTACCCCGATATTGCGAGGTCGGCGCCCCGGGAGGTTTGAATGGGTCCACCAGCGGCGGAAGCGGCCCCACTTCAGCCCCCCGGTGAGAGTTGAACGCGGCGCTAGACATGCGGCATCCCAGGACCTGCAGTAGCCTCTTCCTTGTTTTCCAAGGTTACGCGCTCTTGGCACCTCGGGGAACTAGGGTGAACTTGCTAAAATCTGACCAGGGGAGAAATGTGCGGGAGAAATATGGGGAAGTTGGTAAGTTGTTTCTGAGGTAAAATAAGGTGAGAAACAGCGCTAGGGAGGGAGAAGGCCGGCAGGGCAGGAAGAACGAAGAGAACAGGCTTAACACACGCACGCACACACAGACACACACCAGACACATCAACCAGGACGCTGGTCAATGGGGGCACGAATGACATTGCAAAGGATAGACCTGATCCTCACACCAGAACTAACCTAAGCCTTTACAACGACACGGGGCAACACAAATGGCACACATGGCCTTCGTGTATGCACCCATACATCACCCATACGGGACCTGGCGTCCATCCCCCTTCGCCGTGGCTTTTCTACGAATGCAATCAAAAGTTTGCCTCAGTACTGCCCGACCTTGGACATCACTGGGTAAACATCTGCTGCAGCATGGCACTATCGATTTCCCCCACGAAATGCTACGGTACCGTCCTCCCTCTCTCCTTCACGTAGTCTTTCGCCCCCGACCACCCCTCGTTGTCGTCTCCATCAAATTCGAGGCCGGCTTAACTCCGGCTACGCATCATCATCCTGTACCCACTTCATCCAAACATCGAATGACAGAATCCACGCGGATCACGCTGTTTTCTAGGTGACCCAAACACCAAAATCAGTGAAATGTAGCGAAGCTGAGATGAAGGACTCGCTTAGACTTGTCGATCCGTCAGGCTGGGCGATGAAGCACACTCTGAGGTAATGATTAGGCCTCACTACGTGCTATGTCAGTGTGGCTAGTGGGGGCTGAAAGACACACTCGTCAGCCATCGAGTAGATCGATGCGCTCACACTGCTTCGATTCAACATATTCCCGATGGACGGATAAATAATCAAGCCGTACCTAGGCTGGCACTGGCTTCCCTCCCCTCGCAATTCACGTTCCGCACCAAGTCTTCCCGTCCCATTCAAGCAATCACATCGTCAACAAGTGTGCTAAGCTCAATGGCACCTAGAACAGGTAAAGTTCAAGTTATTTGCTTACCTGCATCTTTTTCGCCTTCATCTCTTCTCCCCACGTAAGCTCGGGTAAAGTCTTGGTAGTTATTGCTCCCCTTGGCAGCTCGGAGACGGGTGCCGCGCGGGTGAGCTAAGGAGGTAGGGGAACTAACTGGCATCTAATCAGGTTCTCGCTTCATCATCTCTAGTTTACATTACCCTTGAAGAGCCGGTCCCACCACATGGTATTCCCGAACCCATCGCCCGAGGGCTCGGCCAAGCTCGTCATACGTCGTAGTGCAGCAAACAATTTTTGGAGTTGCTTTGGCGAAAGGTATTTTCTCCGGTATTCGGGACATGTTTCCCCGTTTCTTGCTGCCAGGTGTCCAAGTAAAGTGCCGCCATGTCTGATAATTTCAGCTGACTTGACCACGATAATTGCGTGCGTTTCTTCGATGCTACATATGGAATGGCGTGTCGTTCGGAGGCTTCTCGTATATGGAAGGTGAACACAAAGAAAACCGTTGTAATCGCGCTTCAAGACATGCATCGTCCGGAGAAACAATTCAAATTGCAAAAAACAAGCACGACACTGGCCGTTGAGATGTCGCAAACGCACGATGTAGGTCGAGACATGCCCTCTCGCCTGCTCGATTAGGTGTTATCATTAAAACTATTTGCCTCCCCCAAATGTTCCAAGCCCTCTCTGCGTCCACATGCCAATGCGTTCTAACTGTATTCCAACGCTTCTGCTGCAATGCAAATGATTTGAATCCCTCCCCAGCTGTATCCCGGCTTCTCGGCCGTAGAGATCGTAAAGGTAGGTGGTAGCTGGTAGCCAGGTAGCAGTGCGTCCGCGCCGACAGCCTTGGCGTCTCTCGATAGACTGCGCGACGGTCGTTTCTACCGGTTCCATAGCCCGACCGACCGAAAAAAACAATAATATGTGAATCAAGGTTTGCAAATTTTGCCCCTCATGTTCGTTGTCATCTTCTGCGCGATATATTGCAGAAAAATGATCTGTACGGGGACTCCCCCGGGCTGGAGGGGGAGGTCCCTGAGGATCGACCATGCTGTGCGAGTATGGCGGCCAGCCTCAAGCTTAGATGCAGGCTGGCAATATATGCTGCACTAAACAACACAGCCCGATCAATTGCATGTTCCGAAAAGCGACTGGCAGCCTGTTCCGCAGTGCGTCGCAGAGTTGCCACTGTAA